AATATGGGAAACTCCAGAGCCACTTGGGCGGAGCCCGAAAAGATTTTTGAGATAAGAATGTGTCTATATGTGAATCGGGGATGTGAACTATCATTACACCAAATTTCAGCCCAATCCTACCAGTATTTTTCGTGTTTACTTGTCACAAACATCCATCCATCCATCCAAACCTTCTCACTTATAATATTAGTAGGATAGTTTATTTGTCGACTTACACTGTTAAATTATGAAATAGAAATTCCCAACTAGCGCATATTCATGCTTCTAAAAACTTTATGTCTGGGTTTTCAGATGACGATTTAAGTATTTTTTACACAAATGCAACACTTGCTGAATCATCTCTATAGCACCTCTTTTGCAAGATTTCAAAGTTATATTCTTATTTATTAAGGAAATAATGTTAATTATGTTTTTCAGGAGAGAATGATGTAGATTTGAGTATGGCTCAGCAGTTGTATAGAGATACTAGAGCTAGTATTGAGTAAGTATTGTGCTTTGTATCTGTATTTAAACCTTCAAAACCTCACTGGATCTCTTAATTAGCCTTGAGTTGACTATTTTATTAATGCTACAATGTGTTAAAATTTATATTTGACAGGTCAGATGATGTGTATACCAACTATGAGATTCAGTTGCTCCCTTATTTCCATTATTAGCTCATTAAATTGTCTTGAATTTTTGCCATGTGTTCCTTCACAGGTCCAAAGGCCTAAAACTAATAAGCAGTTACAGATTTATCAATAATTTTTGATTCTTGGGTTTTTTATGCCTCCCTCTTGTGACATTAAAAGTATTCCAAAAACAATAGCCTACATAATCCCTGTTTATAAAAATGTACCTCCAAAAAGTAGTTTTACAGTATTTCTAATTTGGTTTCAGAATGATCCCGATTGATTGTCTTGAAGATGATTTGATGCTAGATCTCTTTGGACTCCACATATTTCAAGGTAGCTATGCATGGCTAATGTTTTTCATATTTGGTAAGGTATTGTGTTGACCGATAAGATATTGCTATGTGATTAAATAAGTCAGAGGATTGATTGGGAAACTTTACTGTGGGTAGATAATTTGATCAAGAGCCATGTACAATTTCATAGGATTATTCAAACATGATTGCAACCACTCAAATCTTTGACCAAATTGTTTATTCTTTTCTACAGTAGTTTTGAACCTGCTAAATACTTCAAAAACCTAGTACATAGCTAGTAAAGCTTAGTTTAAGCTTAGTATTGCTAAGGACAACACTAGTATTTCTTTCTGGACAGCCCTCGTTAGATTAACAAAATAAAAAAAAACTCTTAAACATCACGATAAATTGAAGGATTTAAACTGAAAGTATAAACCGAAGAACTTAGCCTGTATTTTTTGCTAAATACACTCTTTTAAAAATGTGAGATTTGGGTAGGTTTTTTTTATTTATTGTGGAAACAAAATGGAGATAAGTAATCAGTTCTTTCTTGTTAGGAGAACTCCAGTCTACCCCAAGGGCCAGCATGGACAGTTTATTGGATAGTTGCTTCGTCGATTCTTCATCCAGGCCAAGGTAACTGATCTGCATTTTTTGCTTTGTTAAGTAAAGTATGGTAGAATCTTGATTATTATACAGTAGTATAACTAGGAGTACTCTCCGATGTTGCGTATGAGAATGAACAAAGACAATTCCATGCATGCAAATCATCCTTCTTTATGGTATTTCTATTCTTTCTACAGAATCAGTTGCCCAAGCAGTTTTTATTTTGCTTAAGCCCTTTGTTAAATATGTAAGAAATTAGAAAATTCAGAATAAAGCACAATCATAAAAGTCTATTTTAATACAAAATCTAAACAAAACAATCAATTGTAAATAAAGTGTTTTTAACATGCGATTTCATACATTAAGCAATATTAATTATAAACATACGATGTTAGACAGTAATATCCATCAATCCTCCCCCTTTAATCGGCAAGGTAGCATCTGGTTGACATGTCTTCTCCAGTTGCAGCCATCATCCATTCGCAAAACATACATCACTTTTCCTTCTTTAGCTGTTACTCTTCCAAAACTCCACTTTTTCCCTTTTTGGTTGTAGCATAAAGCTTGAACCCTTTCTCCAATGTTAAAATTGCGATATCTTTTATTTGAAGTTTCATTCTCATTTGCTGTTTCTAGTTTGTTTGTTTCCAGCGAAGTCAAGACGAGTTCTTATATTTCGACCGAACATAAGGGAGTACGCATCTTTACCCGTTGAGTTTACAGACTTTCTTAGTTGCGTTAGAAACATTGGTAGTTTTGTACTTATGTCTCCTCCCTCACTTTTCATTGCACTTAAGCCCTTCTTTATCGTCTGAACAAATCTTTCTGCTTGCCCATTTGACGAAGGGTTAAATAGAGCACATGTCTTGTGGATGACCCTGTTTATCTTTAAGAAACTTTTGAATGTAAATGATGTGAATTGTGGTCCATTGTCAGATACTAGTACGGGAGGAATACCAAAAGTGTCTTTATGCACCATTCCGAGGTTGTTATCTTTGTTGGAATAACTTCAACCCATTTAGAAAATGAATCAACAATAATGAAAAAGTATTGATTTCCAGCGTATGGTCCAGCAAAATCGATGTGAATTCTCTGCCATGGCTGTTCAGCACTTTCCCAAGGGTGTAGAGTCACTAAGCTTGGTCGATTCTGTTTTTGGCATCACTCTTTGCATGTTTTTGCCAAATTCTCTATGATGCCCTTCCAGTAACAATAACGCTAACCCCTTCATCTTTACAATGCCTAAATGTCCAGTGTGAAGTTCCTGTAGGACTTTACTCTGCAAACTAGTTGGAATAACTATTTTGTTTCCTTTAAACAAGCAATCATTCTGTACAGTAAATTCATGATCATGTAAACCAATTCTTTTGATACTCTTTCCTTCTTTAAGTAATTTAATAATTTCTTTTGTAGTGCTGTCATTGTAAGATTCTCTTGCAATCTCTTCTTTAGTGACTGGCATTGTTTCCAACTGACTTAATTGAAACACAGCATTATCATCCAAGAAATCATCAGGTGTGCTCTCAACTGGAAATCGGGAAAGAAAATCAGCATTCAAATGGTCTTGTGTTCTGCGAAATTCAACAGTGTAGTTAAACCCTGAAAGGAAGTGTGCATAGTTAAAGATCCTTGTAGCTGTCATTGTCGGTAAAGTTCTATGTGGATCGAAAATAGATACTAAAGGCTTGTGATCTGTAATCAGTACAAACTTACGACCATAACAGTAAGAGAAGAATCTTTTCAATCCCCAGTATATTGCTTCCTTATCTATTTGGCTGTATTTTTGTTCACTCCTTGTCAATGTTTGGGAGGCAAAAGCTATTGGTCTTTCACTGCCATCTTTCATTCAATGTGATAGGACAGCCCCAAGTCCTACTGGAGAAGCATCTGTAGCAAGAACCAAGGGTAGCGAAGGATCAAAATGAGCTAATGTCAGTAATATCCGTTCATTTGCAATTTTTTCTTTCACTTTCTTGAAGCTTTGTTCACAAGCTGATGTCCACTTAAATGGTTTGCTCTTCTTTAGCAAATTGTTCAAAGGATAAACTATATCAGAGAAGCATGAAATAAACTTACTGTAGTAAGTCACCAAACCCAGGAATGATCGTAGTTCATTGATGTTCGAAGGTCGTTTTGCATTAGTTATTGCTTCAACTTTTTCAGTACTCTTGTGTAAACCATTGTTATCAATCACGTGTCCCAAATATTTTATGCTCTTCTGAAAGAATTTGCATTTCTCTCTGTTCAATCGTAGACTCTTGCTACGTAACACATTCACTACTTGTTTTAATCTTTGTAAAGTTTCATCAAACGTAGATCCTTGTACAAGTATGTCTTTAAAGAAACACTGTACTCCATCCAGACCTTGTAATGTTGAGTCCATGAATCTTTGCCAGAGAGTTGGAGCGACCTTCACTCCAAACATAAGGCGATTGACCTTAAAAAGCCCTTTGTGTGTGCTTAAGGTTTGCATTTTAGCACTTTCATCGTCCATTACCATATGTAAGTACGCATTACTTATGTCAAGTGTACAAAAGTATTTCCCTCCACTCATGTTTGAGAAAATGTCTTCTATTCTTGGTATGGGATAGTTTACCTCTTCAATTACTTTATTGAGTGTAACCTTGTAGTCGGCACATAATCTCACATTGCCATTTGGTTTTATTACTGAAACCACAGGGGTTCCCCAAGCAGAGTTTTCGACCTTAGTAATGATGTGTTCACGTTCCAATCGTTCAATCTCCCTCTCGACCTTACATTTTATTGCGTATGGTACTTGTCTAGGCTTTATGTAAATAGGTGTAGTGTTTTCCATCACCTGAAATTTAGCTTTGAAGTCAGGAATCTCTCAAATCTCTGTCTTGAAAATATCTTCATAATCTTCAAGTAAGGATGTCAGCTGAGATCCATTTCTTTCTTCAACTGCCCTCATGTCTGCCCAATCAAGTTTCACCTCTCTCATCCACTCATGTCCAAATATAGCATCAACTTGGTGATCTATTACGTATAGCTTCCCAATGAATCTTTGTCCCTTGTAGTTGCATTTCACAAAAGCTACGCCACACGGTTTTATTATTTCTCCTGTGTATGTGCGTAGTTCAACTGCAGTTGATAGAAGCTTTTTGTTCGGAAAATTGTGTTGAAAGTCTTTTAGGGAAATGGAGCTCAATGATGCGCCTGTGTCTAATTCGAATAACATCTCCTTGCCATCCACTGATAATTTTGCATTGAATTTACCTCTGTCTTTGGAATTTGAAAGTAAATGTATGTTATGTAAGTCGTTTCCATCCTCTTCTTCAAAAGCTTCTTCTTCAGCATAGTGAACTGATTTTTGTAACTTACCTTTACTCATGCATACACGAGCAATATGACCAATTTTATTGCAAGAATGACATGTTTCTTCTTTGAATTTACATTTATTAGCCATATGTGATTCATTACCACAACGATAACACTTTCCTCTTAAAGAATCAAAACTCAAGGAAGTTTTATCAAGTTTCGCAGTAGATTTAATGAAATACCTTGTATTTCCTACATCTTTATTTGTTGGTACAGGTACTTGCTGACTTTTGTATCTGACTTGATTCACATGTCTAGCAAAATGTTGCTCAGTAATCATTGCACTTTTTGTTTTTGATAGCTCTATTCCGGTTGCTGTCCTAACTAACTCAGGAAATGTTCTCAATTCACGTTCTTGTAAGAGTCTTGTTCTTATTTCTGGGTCATTTAGTCCTCTGACAAACTGTAATCGCAAAAATATATCACAAACAGACTTTCCACATGCACAGTTGAACTCACAGTTTGTAGATAACCTTTTAAGGTCCGTTGAAAATCTGTTACTGATTCTCCATTCGGTTGTTCTCTAAGTACAAATTTGTATTGTAACGTAACGCTAGTGTACTTGCTTGAGGATCTAAGTACTGTTGTAATAAATGTACTAGTTCTTTGTATGTTTTGTTATTTGGATCATCTGGTGAGCAAATGTCGTATAGCTTTTGATGAATTAATGGTGTGAGAGCATGTAAGAATGTCAATGTTTTCTGATTTTGGTCCTGTATGCATTTTAGTTCCATAAAAGTATCCAAACGTTTTGTAAAATTTCGGAAACTTTCCCTTTCATTGTAGGGCACAAAGTTTAGATTTGAGGTTGTCACATTTGTTGTAGTAGCATGCTGAATCTGATCATTTGAACAATCGACACCTGATGTATCAATTAGGTTTTGTAACATTACCTTGGTAGCAATTGTGGTATTTTCAAATTCTTGTCTGTAAGCGAGTTCATCTTCAATATCATCTTCATTAATCATTAATTCAATGTGGTCCTGTATTATACCAAATTTCGTGTGCAATTCATTTAAATGATGTAGTCTAACTGAAGCATCTGTAGACACTTTGTGCTCTTTCAATAGTTTTGTGATATTTGTAAGCTGAGCTTTCAATGATCTTCTGAGGTTTTTGTACTGGATTATCCTCTCATTCTCATCCTTTATTTGTTCAATTGTTTCTATTATCCTCGTCGCCATTGTTAAATATTTAAGACATTAGAAAATTCAGAATAAAGCACAATCATAAAAGTCTATTTTAATACAACACCTAAACAAAACGATCAATTGTAAATTAAGCGTTTTTAACATGTGATTTCATACATTAAGCAATATTAATTACAAACATATGATGTTAGACAGTAATATCCATCACCCTTAGATAAAATTAATAATTTCCACTAAAAGGGGTTTCGATTGTACTTTGGGACATAGGGGCAGGACCATAAATGAGGGAATTCGCTTTATCATGGAGAAGCATCGATAAAACCGGTAAACCAGGGCTTGAGGTTAGAACAAGTTTAGACAACAGTTATAAGGTACTAGGTGAACCCGTGCGAATTCGCACGAATAAATTAGGATATATTGTAGCAACGTAGAAGTTGCGTCGTTGTATTGACGTTGGTCTTGAGCTCGATCGTTGGCTATATACATTCTAAGTTATTTTTGCTGTTCAGTAGGAGTATTTTGCAGGACGGAGCTTATCATGCTGAAAACTTGCGCAAATGGATTAATATCAACCAAATGTTTAGTCAAAATGTGCATGAGTTCAGTGCTGCAAGAGCCATTAGCTTTGTTTAGCATTCTTTCTTGAACAGCGGATTTGTCGTCGTAGATATAAATTTGGGCATATGTGGGATGCTCCCCTTCTGACAGTTGAAAGGTGCCAATAGAGTGATGAACTGTGTCGTGCACCTTATACATGAAAGGTCCTCCACCGTTATGTTCTTCAATTTTAGCTCGAGTGCTGACCATTGCGAGCGCAGAGTTGTACGATCTAATGTTCTCTTTGTAGTTTCTGCTCAAATGATTTGCTCCATTTAGTAGGCTCTGGATATAATAGCTTTCTCGGTTTCGTGTAAGATTCAATTTTCCTTTATATGGCAGCAGGATGAAAATCCTTCACCTCGTCCTCTTTGTTCTTCTTTAAAATGTAGTGCACCACATTTCTGACATTTTAATGCCATCTCGCCAAGTGAATACTGCTGAGTTCTTGTATTTGTCAGTGTAATTTTGTAAGTACACGTTGCCACTAACTGTTCCAGCTCCTCGTCTGGGCTCCTTACGTTTTGCATTGCTTGCCGTATGTTGACTCGCCGGGTCCGACCTGCAATATTTCTTTGTCGTCGGGTCCTTTGCATGTTTAAACTAAAATAAAATGTAAAACTTTTCTCCCGTCGTGTCCCATAAGTAACATTTCTTTGCCGGGTTTCTAATTATTTTTGAAAAACATGCAAAAACCAAACATAACAGCTGGGATTTCTTTTACTAAATGTATTGCCATCTGTTTCAGAATATAACATTCAAATCAATCACAATGTTATCCTTATGGAAGGAACTTTGAGGGCAGCCCACGCCCTTCAAAAGATATATTTCGAAAATCTAAAGCCAGTTTGCACATCTACACACCTAGACGAACATTTTGGTATATAATATGTGGGGTTGAATCTTAAAACAAAAAAGCCTTATTGTTCACAAAGTTTCATGCCGCGTATTAAATATATAGATAGGGAAACTTTTTAAGTTAAGTTCACGATGCAGGTGAGTCGGTGGCTCAGTTGGTAGCGTCACGGACTTCGGGCCCAAGGCAGTGATGTCGTGGGTTCGGATCCTGGTCACTGCCACTAAAATTTATCAGTACAGTTCACCTTCGTACTGTACCCCTTGCTTTGCTGGATATGTTCCACGCACAGATCTTTAGTCTATGTGGACAGGCAAATCCAAGGTTAAAAGAGGTCGCCAACCTCTTTTTTTTTTAAAAAAGGAAAAGGATTATGAACATAATTTTTAAGCCTAACTAATTCCATGATAAACAATCAAAATGATCCATGAAAAAATAACGTATTTCAATGTTTTACTGTGCTTAGTACTATAGAGTTGTCAAGCTAAATCCTACAATTCTTTGAGGTTTTGCATTACAATAAAACTTTCAGACAATAACAGGAAGATTATATCCCCTACATAAACAATAAAAATTACAAACCACCCAATTCAAAACAATTTTAACTTTGTGTAGTGTCCCCTAGAATTAGAATTAATAATGTTTCCAACTAAAACTTAATAGATCCAGTTATGCAAAAGTACCCTAGGTCTAGTGCAAATGTTAATTTCAGTAGGTAATTCAGAATTATCATCAATAATGTATATAACACGTTAACTGCCACCTTGATATTCAGCCTCTTCACTTTATTGCCAAACTTGATTTTATGTAGAATTTCACTAATATTGTTTCTATTTACTTTTATAGGTTAATATTGATGTTTTGAATCATAATTATTATATTTAGGGGTGGGGGTAGTTTTTGACCGATCGGGTCGGCACTAACATTTTTCAGCAAAAAATCAATAAAATAAATAGCTGCCGACCCGTTCGGGAAACACGTGGAATGGGCCTGCTGAAGGCAATTTTACTTTGCAAAGTTGGCAATACCACACTTTCCCACGTAAACTTGCCACAGCCCTATTGTTCGCGCACTTTTGTTGCCACCTGCGTATGTTGGTGTAGTCTACAACCATTCTATTGCTTTGCGCAGATTACTCATTTACTCATTTATTTAAGATGGGGACGCCACTATGTACGTATTTTAACCCAAATATGAGTGAAGGATGAGTGGCGCAATCTTGTAGTCTTGTTAGTGACTAAGGCCGACATGTTCCTTAGACACAGCTGTTAATTAATAGCCCATACAGCTAATGGCAACTAAGGGACCTACAGTTTATAGTGGAATCCGAACCACATTTTTCCTTGTAATTTACGAATTGGTCTAATTATCAAGATAGTACTGCGGATAGTCGTAGTACTCACTAGTGCGGACGTTAATCCACACCAGGGAGCATCGCATCCACAGTGCATCCCTATAAATATCCACAATTCGTGACCTCCTAGTAGCTGGATTACAGGACGACGCCACCCGTCCCAGTCTACAGATGGCAATACCACACATTCCCGCGTAAACTCACCTGCAATATGTGCCCCGATAAGCCTTACTTATGCAAGAACTGTTTTATGAACATTCACAAATAGACTAAAGACACAGGAAAACAAGAAGGTAACTGTAACGACATTGTTTTAGATATTTTGAATCTAAGTAATACATTTTTATTCTTTTACAAATTTATTTTTTCAGCAGTATACTTTCAGAAACGAAAAAATTTATAATAAACAATGTTTAGTTTTTGTTTATCAACTAATGTACTGAGACAATAAATAAGATTTTTCTGTAAATACTTTTTTTATTTCAAACCCAGCAACAACTTTAGAATAAAAATTTTTTACAATTGTATTCACATAAAAAATAATACAAGCTATCTATTAGTATTCTTAGTAATGATTACAATGATACATAAAGTAAAACAAATTGTAAAACATTTCTTATTTTATTATTTTACACGAAATTGCCATTTTTTAATCGTAAGTAATGCTGAAACCCTCTAAAACAACCACGCCGACCCGGGATTTGTTTGGAATATGTTTGGAAACCTGGGTCACTGACTAAAACCAGGATCACAGACAGTACTACAGGTATTTAACCTTTTATTAACAGAGGGATATGACCGGCAATCGATTATTTGAAGCCTTTGGAACATACTAATGAATTAACCAGCCAATAAGTTCACAGCATTGATGCATACTATACGAAATACGAATAGTCACTCTCAGGGACGCTCGCACTTTAAGGTAAAAATAGTTCGTCGCTGTCACCGACTCTGTAGCACTAAAAGGGTTCAGACAATACCGTTTTTCTACTGGTAGTCATATCAGGCCTTAAAACCCTAAACAGTTTTGTAAAATGCAGGGATAGTCAGTTTAAATTCCTATTTGTGGTTAGCCAGCGTTTTTTTATGTTCCAAAATTAAATTGCACCAGGTATGTAATTTTTTAGATAAAATCCTTTCCCTTTCCATACCTATGTACCATACTTTTTATCCATTTTTTATAAATAAGTGCCATAAATACTGCAAATTGGTTTTGTTTGACTTTATTGCCATCTGCAAAATGTTTAAAAATCTTAGGTTAATATTCTTGCAGATGGCAATAATGGCAAACAAAATCAATATGTTACTAAATCTTGTTGCTAATTTAACTTAGTTACTATCTTCTTTGTTAATAACTAAACCCTTATTCTAGGGAGGAAAATATTTTTTGGGAAAGAAAATTCTGTACCATCACTGACAGTGATTCACTTTACATCCTGTCCTGATATAAAAATACAATCCAATTCTGTGCATCCTAATTTCTTTACTTAATTTTGGACTTTTCCCCCATCTACTTATGTGCAAGGGGTAAGACTTATTTCAGATTTTAATGTAAAATAGTTTCATCTCTAATATCCAGTGTTTTTTCTCTTTAGGGAGGCATTGCTGAGTGATCCCAGCAGTAACCATGACAGGAGCACTTCCAGTGGAGATCCTCTTACACCTCCAAAAGGTATATACCATTTTCCACACACTTAATTATCTCTGCCTTGAATAAATGCATCAACACCAATGTTACCGGTACTGCAAATATTACATAGGCCTATTACTGCTAACATTTAGTCTTAGTAACTAAAAATAAAAGTAGTTCATATTTATCAGTTTTAGCTAGAGAATAGTTCCAATACAATAACTTATTTATTGGTTTAATCATGCCTACAATCAAGCTGTCCAGGCATACCTTTTGCTGTAGTCGGGCATCTCGCACTAAAATAAAGGTGAAATCTTAATGAATTACACACCATATTGGACCAAGCCAGTTATACAAACTCTCAATCTGCAATGCTGTCCCTCAGGCCTAAATAAATATTCAAATTTATAATCAAACGTTTTGTTAAGTTACTTTTGAAACATGTCAAATCATTCTTAGGGCTTAAAGTTTGAATTTTGTTATGGCTGTCAACATCTGAATCACTATAATCATCCCCCTTGGTCGCAGAAACCTCTTTGCTGTCATGTGTGGTCACAGCAAAAGCGGTAATTTTTAGATTGTGCGATCTTCTCAGACATGTTGGTCATTGGTATGGGTATAGACTTTTGACAATCAATTCTCGGTACCATTACCAATGTCCACGCACCAATGTCGATGCACCAATGTCCAATGTATCTGTGGTATCGAGAACCGCACATCTCTTATAAAAACTTATTGCAAGTGATTAAACTTGATTCTTCTACTCATTCTGATAAAGGTGCATTGTTGTGTGTGCAGTAAGCTTGGAGTGGGCTTTGCGTAACATGTGCAGAACTCCGTCATCTCCTGGACTGCCTACCAACTCCTTCACTGCACCTCCCCAGAGACAGGTTAGTCACATCTCTTGTTCACTATTATATTAGTTTTGTAATACTTACGCTTATGTATTTTACTAATTATTGTAATTAGTTTTATAAGATCAATAACAGTTGTAATATATTTAAAGCCTTAGTTGGCATTTTTAAAACACTCGATTACTCAATAAGTACCAAAAAAAAGATACAATGTGCTCCATAAACTTGTCAAGTACAAAATCATCACGTAAAAATTCTGATACATTTTAGTGACTCATTTAATATTCATACTTGCTTTAGTGCAGTTAAAAGTTGGATGCAAATGGTATATTGGTTGGGGGAGACGGGAGGGTTCTACTATAAATAACTGTAACTGTTGTAACTGTATTTTTCAATGAAAACACAAATAACTGTTTTTTTCATTTGATTACTTTAAGACAGCAACACACATTGGTAGGAGGGTTGGTATTGGTATCGATAAATACCAATGATCTTGAACTGGGCCCAGTTTTAACTAGTACAGAAAAGCTAATGACTTTTCTCAACATCAAACCGGCAATGTGATAATCCTCTTGTAAATACAGTAGAACTCTAATTATCCAATCTCCTATTAACCGAATCGCCGATTATCCGAATCGCTTATTTCAACAATTCAAAAAACGTAAAGCTATAGTAAATAAGATTCGCAAAATATCAAATATTTGTTATTGAAGACGGCAGACGTCCTTGAGCGCTACTGTTCGTCCCTCCGCGAAGCTACTATATGGCCTACAATGGTTCTTCCTCCCGTGAAACTACTAGTACATATAAGCGAAGGGCGGGGAATTAGTCACTATCTCTACGCACGGTTTTTATTGGCTACAGCTACTGTCTTCTTTCTCCCTTCCTACTCATATCCTTTGATCTGATTGAGACTGTCGTTGTCAGTGTGTTGTTAACCTGTTACAGACCAAGACACTTTTTTTTACCATGGTGTCTAAAAGAAAACACGTTGTGTTATCGTTAGCGGATAAATTAATGATTTTAGAGCAATCCGACAAAGGTGTAACTGGAAAGCAGTTAGCTGAAATGTATGGTGTTGGAAAGGCTACAATTTCGGACATAAAAAAGAACAAGGCTACATTATTAAACTTTGTATCAGTTCTTGAAAACGAAGATGGAAGCTCTTCAAGAAAATCAATGAAGACTGCAACAAACGTATAGATTTAGAAAATGCTGTTTTCAAGAGGTTTTTACAGCAACGATCTTTGGGAAACCCGATTTCCGGCCCTATTCTCTGCGTGAAAGCAAAATTATTTGCTGAAAAACTTGGTAATGCGACTTTTAAAACAAGCAACGGGTGGCTAAGGAATTTCAAGTCCACGCATGGTGTCCGTGAACCTAAGTTGACCTAAGTGGTGAGAAGTTATCGGCGGATCCTACCGCTGCAGAACAGTTCATTGAAACCTTTAAAGTTGTGACTGAATCCTACGATCCAGAGTTCATTTACAACGCCGATGAAACCGGCCTTGTTTGGAAAGCCTTACCTAAGACTACTTAAGCATCCAAAAGGGGGAGTAGTGCACCTGGACATAAAATAAGTAAGGACCGTGTTACAGTCCTTAACTGTGCTAACTCTACGGGAAACCACAGAATTCCCCTTCTTCTAATTGGCAAATCTCAAAGGCCTAGAGCTTTTAAAAATGTAAAAAAACTTCCCGTTCACCCACAAAAACCAACTTAGGGCTTGGATGACTGGATCATTGTTCACCGAATGGTATGACGAAATTTTCATTCCCGAGGTAAAAAAACATCAAAAATCTCTGGGAAAAGAGCACAGTGAGGTGCTTTTGACTGTAGACAATGCTCCAACACATCCTACTGAGGACTTGATGGAACGAGATAATGGCCAGTTCAAAAAAATCTTTTTACTGCCAAATGTTACAAGCCAGCACAATCAGCTTGGATGACTGGATCATAGTTCACCGAATGGTATGACGAAATTTTCATTCCCGAGGTAAAAAAACATCAAAAATCTCTGGGAAAAGAGCACAGTGAGGTGCTTTTGACTGTAGACAATGCTCCAACACATCCTACTGAGGACTTGATGGAACGAGATAATGGCCAGTTCAAAAAAATCTTTTTACTGCCAAATGTTACAAGTAAGCACAATCTTTCAAATTTATCTTCTTGTGATTACTCAGAACACATTCTTCATCCTCTCCCTCGGCTAGAAGTTTCCTTAAAAACTGCCTTCTGTAGTGGCGTTTCATTGTCTCTATAACGGACTGGTCCATTGGTTGCGACACATTGGATCGCAACCAATGGACCAGTCCGTTATAGAGACAATGAAACGCCACTACAGAAGGCAGTTTTTAAGGAAACTTCTAGCCGAGGGAGAGGATGAAGAATGTGTTCTGAGTAATCACAAGAAGATAAATTTGAAAGATTGTGCTTACATGGTAGCGGAAGCATGGAGCCTGGTTAAAACAGAGACTTTAAGACGTGCATGGAATAAATTGAAAGGCTTATCAACCGAACAAGAGAAGGAAAAGGAGAGAGCAGAACAAGATGCCCAACAATAAGAACATGAGATAGATGAAGATGATATGTCACTCGAAGAACTAAGAAACATTCTTATACGAATTCCGGGATGTTCAGAAGTGAGTACTGAAGTGGTTGGAGAGTGGGTCATGAGTGATTCGTCAGATCCTGGGTATCAAATCCTAAGTGATGAAGAGATCATTGAAAGTGTTTCCGAAGACATTGTTGAGGAGGAAGAAGAAGTCAACATGGAAGTTGAAAGTGATATTGGACCATCAGCTTCAGAAGCATTTAATTGTCTTGAAACTGCATTAAGATGGATGGAGCGGCAACCTGAGTGCGATCACCTACAACTACTAACGGTTAAACGGATGCGCGATCTGGCTGCAAAAAAAGTCTGAAAACAGCCAAGCAGCTCACGTTGGTGGAAATGTTCAACAAGTAAGATAGTACTGTACTTTAAATTTAGCAAGTGTGTATTTTTGGACTTTGATGGACCACTGTTATCTTAATAACATGTATAGAACACTCGTACATGCATTGTAAACTGTAAAAATGTTGTGATTTCATTTATTATTAATTAAAAGTTCATTTAGTTCAGAAAATGGGGATTTTTCTTTAAATTCCCAGAATTTCGGTAAAACTCCGATTATCCGAATGGGGTCTGGTCCGGATAATCGGAGTTGTACTGTACTATGACTTGTCTGTGTAGTCCTCAAATCAGAAAGTTACTGGCTCGATACCAAGATGCCATTTGTCATTGGGCTATGAATGAATGATGCTATCTAAAAATAATTTATGAATAAAACACTTTTTTAAAACTCTCCACATAGGCCTATTTATAATTATTTTCTACTTTTTAGTTTTTAATTTGTGTGGATGTTAAATCTATTTTAATCATCTGTATCAGATTAAAACAGAGGCATGTGGGAAATCTAAGGTTTTTTTTAGTTTCTTTTCATACAGGGTGACCATTAAGTCTTAGGACTACTTTATAACTTTTAAACGACAAACGATATCACAACCACATTTGGTATACCGTTACTGGAAATTGTAAGCTACTTTTCTGTGTACATGGTGGTCGGATATCACCTTTGGGGGACGGCCCGTCGGGGGTCAGAAGAAAATCTTTAATGACAGGCTATGTTGAGTTGTACATCATTTTAAAGGTCTACTGTAACTGAAAACAATGCCGCAAACCGCACTTCAAAAGGTTGATCCTGCGCAAAATGGCAGGTGTTCAAAGATTTTCAAAATTAGCCAATTTCTTTAAATTAAAACACTTTTTTAAATCTTTAAACAACTGTAATTTTTTAACGGATGGTCCTTTTGAAGTACGGTTTGCGGCATTCTTCTTTGCTTAAAATTCCCTTTAAAATTATCCCCATAACTTCACATTCAGTGATCCAAATAACTCTTCAGGGCGACGGCCCACAAGGAGTCGGAAGTAAATCTTGAATGGAAGCATAGGTTGATATGCACATCAAATTAAAGGTATTTATTAGTAGAATACAATGCCGCAAACCGTACTTCAAAAGGACCATCCGTTAAAAAATGACAGTCGTTTAAAGATTTAAAAAAGTGTTTTAATTTAAAGAAATTAGCTAATTTTGAACATCTTTGAACATGTGCCATTTTGCGCAGGATCAACCTTTTGAAGTGCGGTTTGCGGCATTGTTTTCAGTTGAAGTAGACCTTTAAAATTATGTACAACTCAACATAGGCTGTCATTAAAGATTTTCTTCTGACCCCCGACGGGCCGTCCCCCAAAGGTGATATCCGACCACCATGTACACAGAAAAGTAGCTTACAATTTCCAGTAACGGTATACCAAATGTGGGTTGTGATATCGATTGTCGTTTAAAAGTTATAAAGTCGTCCTAAGACTTAACGGTCACCCTGTATAATTATGTATTAGATTGAATGTATGTCCTACCTACTGACTATAAATATATCAATCTATTAAATTTATTGTTTACTTTATAGAATCTTACTAATCTTACTAATATTATAAATGTGAAAGTTTTTGTGTTTGTTTGTGTGTTTGAAGTTCAATCACGCATAAACCACTGGACGGATTGGGCTGAAATTTGGCATGATGATAGCTTACATTCCCGATTAACATATAGGCATATTCTTATCTCAAAAATCCTTTCGGGCTCCGCCCTAGTGGCTCTGTAATTCCCCATGTTAACCTTATGAGTATTCATATTTAAAGGGAATTAAAGAATTTAGTCAGCTGTTTCAACTAAAAAAGTTGGTTCTATGATATGGAAAAGCATGAAAAAGTTATAAGATTTACCAACAGGGTGCAGCACTATATTTTTTGCATTTATGAAAACAGCTAATTTGAACTAAGCAGCAACAAAAAACTGTGATTCGCAATGAGAACTGACAAAGTAGGATTGTTTACAGTTATGTTTATGTTTTTCATTTCATGAATAATTTGTGATATTTTGCGAATTGTTGATAATTTATTTTTCTCTATTGTTTTGGTGAAGTGGTAGAACATTATGGCTATGGTAGATGTGTAATACTATAGAATACTGTAAATTTAAAAAAGCAAATTTTATCAAACTGTGTCCTCCCTTATTGCAAATGCAAAGCTTTTATACTTATACTAGGGGGCGTTTTATGAGTTTTAATGTTTCAATAATTTGCAAATGGGTTCTTTCAATGATTTATTTTTTAAAGATTTAGATTTTGTTGGACGCTTTTCTTTGAATTGCAGCTTAAATATTGACAGAAATTAAATGATACAGCTGATCAAAATTTAAACAATTATGATCTTCATAAGGATAACATGGGAACCTTCAAAGCCACTGGGGTAGAGCCTAAGGGACTTTTTCAAATCCAGTTCAAGGCCAGTTTGCAAATCTACGCGACACGCTCTTTCCAATGATACGTCAATGGATAAAATCGGTTAAGAAATGACGGAGGAGTTCAACCGACAAACTTCGTGTTCGCGTATTAATTATATAGATTCCAACCCCGTACGAAGGACGGGTACTCTGCTAGTACTAAATAAATAACAATTGACATTATTAACAAACACCTTTATATCTGCAATCAGATTGTTTATCTTTATTTTGAAATATTTGTTTATATAAAGAATCTCTTGGGAGCATAACCTGTACCTCTTAATCTCTGATCTTTGAACTGTCAAATTTAAGTATTTTACAGCTGACTTAAATTAATTGATATATTTACATTCTTTCAAAATGTAAACATGGAAAATTTGGAAGCCCATGGGGCGTAGCCCAAGGGAAATGTGAAAATTAAATGATATAATATTGCATTGTCATTGTCTGTGAGTTATGTTTCAAATTCCAAGTCTAGCTCATCGGGAACTTCATTTAAAATTAATATCAAAATTTGTAGGAAAGGGAGCTAATAAAAACCAGCCCATGGGGCGTAGCCCAAGGGAAATATGAAAATTAAATGATAATATTGCATTGTCATCCATTTGTGAGCTATGTTTCAAGTTCCAAGTCTCTAGCTCATCGGGAAGTATCAAAATTTGCAAGAAAGCGAGTTAATAAAAATAAGCCCATGGGGCCTAGCCCAAGGGAAATATGAAAATTAATTATTAAATGATATAATATTGCATTGTCTTTCATTTGTGAGCTACGTTTCAAGTTTCAAGTCTCTAGCTCATCGGAAGCTAGTATAAAATTGATTGCAAAATTTGTACCGGACAAGAAAGTGAGCTAATAAAAAAGTTTTAAAAAGGTTGATGTTGGATAGTAACAAAACCAGGGTTTGGACCATCCCCTTTCAAAACTTAAAAAAATGCCATAGGCGTAGAAAACACATAAGAACATGGGGTCTCCAGAGAAAAAACATGCCTCTCCAGCACATGGGCCCAGACCTCAGCACCGTACAAGAGCACTGATTGGACAGCAGACATCAGTAGGTGGCGCTTGCAGTAGCGGGGACCGCCGACGTTTGGCATAAGCCTTTTAAAGGAGAGCAACTCTCTTAGCGGCTTTGTCAATGGTTTGCTTAATCTGCTCCCCGAAAGACATCTTGCTGTCAATCATAACACCGATGTATTTGGCATACGGCTTGGTCTCCAGTTGGGCACACCAAGTTTTAGCTCTGCTTCTTCAACGTTTCTGCCTGCAACCAGAGCAGCGACGTCAACAAGGAAAGTCTCGTCTGGCATTTTGAGTCTTAGAAGACTGCCGTAAGACACATTCCAGAAATCATATCCAAGGATCGATCCCTGTGCAGCCCCAGAAGTGACAGAGACCTGACGCTGACCTTCGGTGGTGTCAAAAAGCAAGACATGGTCCGAAAGGTAGGACTCAATCATTTGCAGGATGTAAGGAGAAATGTGGAAATACATTCTATACTAATAGAGATGCTTGTTAGGTCATTGATAATTTATTTCCTTTTTACTATTTAGGATTAAATATTTGAATATGTTTCAGCGACTTTGGAATCTGTTGGAGCAGTATTCTTCTCCAGACCTTCCTCGCCTTCCAAGGCCCAGGTAAATTCATTATGTACTAGGCAAGTTCCCTGCCGTCAAACCACTATGGTCAAACTACTAAATTTTGACACAGGAATATGAAAAATTCAATTAATTACTGGTAACTTACAATTTTAGACACTTAAAAATATTTTGATTAAACATATTATTAAGTCCTTAAATTATAGTAAATAAAACATAAGAGGATGTATAACTGATTTAATTCAACGATTATCATCACTGAATAAAAAATATAAACTTAAACAAACATAAACATTCTCTTTTGATTTTAGTATATACATATGTTGGGCATTTGTGTGTGATCTTGGTGTTTCTTCATAAGATCCATCCTGGTCCTTATTCTTCTCCCAAACATAAGTTCATATGCCGAGGACTCTGTAGCGTTTGTGGCATTTCTTAGTGACATTAAAAGGTGATTTATTTTGTATGGCAAATCTCCTCCATCATTTTCCATTGCTTTTTACTGTTTCTTTACAGTCTGAACAAATCTCTCTACTTGTCCGTTGGTTGCAGAATTAATGGGGCAGAGAATTTATGTGTGACACAACATGCTTGTAGAAATTGGTTGAAAATGGATGATGTGTAGTTAGGGCCGTTGTCAGAGACTGACGTAAACAGGTAACCAAAGGTATAGAAGAGTTTCCTAAGCTGTCAAATACACCAATTAGATGATGTTGTTTTGGTTGGTATTACCTCAACCCACTTTGAATAGACGTCAACAATAACAAAAAAATTGTACTGACCATAAATTGGACCCGCAAAGTCGATGTGCATTCGTTGCCAAGGTCCTGGTGGAACTAGGGATGGACATCTACTTTTTCAGGATGATTCTGCTTAAAACAGCATGGACGACAAGATTTTGCTAGATCTTCTATGTTACAGTCAATGTGTTTCCAGTAAAAAAAACTTCTTGCAAGATTTTTCATTTTTACAACTCCTAAGTGTCCTAAATGAAGTTCATTGAGTACTTTTTTTTGCAGTGTTTCAGGAATCACTACTCTGGAAGCACGTAAAATGCATCCATCATGAAGTGAATAGGAATACTCATTATTCTTTAAACCAATGAGTTTCAAATCAGTGCCATTTTAAAGTGCTTTTAAAATAGGTTGTAAGTCGTCCTTATCTTTTGCTGTTTCTTGTGCAATGTTCTCATTTGTTACAGGCATTGTTTCAATTTGGTTTATGAAAAAGGCTTCATGTTGATTGGTTTGATTTGTCGGTGGATGTTCATTTGGAAAGCAAGACATGTAGTCGGCATTACTATGTAATTTTGTATTCCTATATTCAATAGTATAATCAAAGCCAGAGAGGAAGTGTGCATGATTAAAAAGCCGTGTGGGAGTCATAGTGGGCAAGGTTCTGTGTGGCTCGAAAATTGAAACAAGTGGCTTATGATCTGTTGTGAGGATAAACTTTCTGCCATTAGAATACTGATAGAACTTCTTCAATCTCCAGTAAATTGCCAGTGCCTCTTGATCTATCTGACTGTACTTTTTCTCACTTGCGGTGAGAAATCGAGAAGCAAATGAAATGGGCTGTTCAGCTCCATCTTTGTATCGGTGAGAAAGAACTACTCCTAATCCGACTGGGGAAGCGTCCGTGGATAGCACTAAAGTTTGATCTGGATCAAAATGAGCAAGGACCCGGTCACTAGCTATCTCATCTCAGCCTTAACCTTTTCAACACATTCATCACATTCTTTGGTCCAAACGAACTTTGTGTGTGCCCTTAATAGATTGTGTAGTGGATTCAAGATTGTGTTCAAGTTGGGGATCGATTTCTGGTAGTAATTAGCCAAACCCAGGATTATTCGTAGCTCTGACACATTTGACGGTTTTTGTGATTTTAAGATTGCTTCCACCTTGTCCTTGTTCTTGTGTAGACCATTTTGTTCTATAGTATGTCCAAGGTAGTTGATTTGAGTTTGAAAAAAACTTGCATTTGTCTTTATTTAGTTTGAGGTTGTGACTCCTGTTGACTATCAAAACACTCTACCCTTGTTAAGGCTTCAAATTCAGTTGAACCTTGGATAATAATGTCGTCAAAAAACTCTGAACGCCATCAATACCGGAAGTATTCTGTCCATAAACCTTTGCCATAGCGGAGCAGTTTTAATTCCGAACATGAGTTTATTTACCTTATACTGTCCTTTATGTGTACTGATTGTTTGAAGTAGCGCACTTTCTTGGTCCATTGTCATGTGTAAATAAGCATTATTGATGTCTAGACTACAAAAGTACTTACCCCTACTCATTTTTACAAAAATGTCTTCAATACGTGGAATTGGGTATTTTATGGGTATCTTATCTTAATTTGCTGTGTGTCTACAGACCAACTGTTTATACCAAAACTGCTTTTGGTGTGTTTTAGCGAATTTCCCTATAGGGAATAAGCTATTACTGCAGGTCTCATGGTAAGACTTAGTCCCGGGACCGATTTACTTTTTCATTTTGATGTCCCTAGAAGCCATAAACACCATCAGTTCAAATTCATATATATATATATATATATATATATATACTTTTGTGCCCACCCGGTTTGGCAGTCAGTGCGCTGGTAATTTACTCGGTGTGGCAGTCACCCGCCCGAAAGCCAGTCAGCTCTCCCATAAGCCAGTCAGGTATGGCTTCCCGTGCACTTTATACGTATGAAAACAGCAAACCGGTGCTGCTGCCTGTGTCGATAAGCGTAACTGCAATACCAATGCGGAGACTGTCTCATCGTGTGTTCTATCGTGGAGTAGTGTAGCCAGTACGGCACCCTACCCTACTTTGTAGCGGTAAAACCCAGCGGTCTGTAACCTTCGTTTACTCCTTGTTACTATTTGTGTTGGGATAGTGATTAACTACGTGTTAATGTTTAAACATGTTCATACTCCAAATAAATATGATGCACCTCTAATAAGGATCGTCGAATATTAATTAATTATAATTGGTTGAATCTTGATCCTACCCGTTCATCATCTCATATTTTAAGTTATTTTGATTTTTTTTACCTTCAGTTGAAATTTTAGTCAACTTCTCCTTTATACAATATTTTTTATCCTAGTATTTACAGTGTTTCCACGGACCGGGAACTATACGGATTTTCTTTATCTCGAGAAATATACGTGAATCTTGTCCGAGATACTGGAACTGTTTTTTACGCAATTGCGTAACGCGAAGGAGGAACTATTACATATGACAACGATATTATTCTATCTGATAAGAATAACCATGAAACTACACTCGAAAGATAAAATATTTTTAAAATAATTTCAATTTTACAAACAAACTATTACAGGAATTATATTTTGGGACGGATGAATGATAAGGAAGCAACAAAAAGTGGTCACGAGTGCAAATACGGGGGGGGAGGGGGGTACAATATAACAAACGCCAGAAACGATTATTTGTTTACTTTTCAGATTCCTTATCAAATCTCTCTCTCTCTCTCTCTCTCTCTCCCTCCCTCTCTCTCTCTCTCTCTCTCGCTCTCTAACAATGTACAGATTGTGGACTTTACGATTTAAGTTTTCCTGCAATTATTTCAGTTCAATCCCATACCTATCCTTATGGTTTCCTATCTATTATTTTTCAAAATCTATATATATAATACGTGAAGCCGTTTTTTGTTAACGCAACTCCTCCCTTATTTGCGGACCAATTTCAACGTTTAAGGTGTCAAAAGATTCGTCTCAATATGTAGTTTTGCAATAAGGTTTTAGAATTTTAAAATGCCAACTCTCAAGGGCGTGAGACCCTCTCAAAGGTCGGGTTTTCCCCATAAGAAATACATAGAACAAATAAAAAAAAAAAACAGCTGTTTATAAAAAGAAACTCATTAGCTTTTTGGGAGTAAATATTAATGTTTTCAATTCAGTAGGTTAAGACCAAGTTAAACAGTTAATCAGTTTTGTTGGAAGAACGGAAAATGCCTCAAGTTCAAATAAGAAATATTGAAAACGGGAGGATGAGACAATTAATAATAAGATATCTTATGCGTATAAGGAGAGTAGAAAAAGAGAGGTAGTAAATTCACCAACCCAATCCAGACATTTCAAGTCAAAAATAAGAAGTTGCTATTGAAAGCTTTAGTGGCAATATTAGACCAAACATAAGTGAAGGAATTAGTGTTTATGTATTCAACGATCGAGTAGGGACAATCAAGTTTATTTTTACGATTCTAAGGCAAATAATATACGTTGTTCAAAAAGAGAAAGCTGCAATTGCTATCCAAATCTTATAGCTACAAGAGTTAACTAATTAACCTATTTCGACAAACGAATCCATACTTTCAAAACTTTGGGACAGGTATTAAGAGAACCCCAGAAACTCCACTGAACAACGTAAGAACGTTCTGATGCGAGGCATTTATACTGAGACTGAGAGACACGTTAAGTTAACCAACTTTCAATGGTGTTGCTGCTTTCAAAGCAGATTATGGCTGTCCAGTTGGTAATCCGGAGACTTTTCGGGATTCTATACGAAAAAAAATCGTTGGTTTAGGAGGATGTCTCAAATAAAAGAAATGAAATTACCAAACTAAAAAAAAACCCAACTAAATTACTTAACACGGGTTATCAGTAAGGCAACAGTTTCCTTCAATTTTTAATGCTGGAAAACTTTGTTGTAACATGTTAACTCGAATTGAAGCAGAACGTTTAGCTTCCATTAAAAGTTATCAGTTAAAACTGAGAGCAGAAATAATGTAGGTGAACCTTGACGACGCAAATAGAGTTATTCAAAATAATTTTCTAACAAGTTTTCAAACAATAACTCTAAGATGTAACTAAAAATACTCGAATTTAAGCATAACGCTCTCCTCGGCGTTATGTTTCATACTATGCGGCTCATTGAGCCGCACGGGTTCTCTAGTAGATATTAAAGCAGGTTAAACTATTTTTTATTTTATTTTCTTGAAACCAAACACTCTTTACCATCCCGTATTCTGCAGAGTCAAATGTTTAACACTGTGTTTATAAAAATTGAATGGCCACACAATTTTGTGTTTTATTTTTT